GGACCACCAAACATTTGTTCTGAGTAGAAACCAAGTTAATAATGCAAAGCAGATACCTACAATAAGCACTGGCTCAAAAAAACCCAAACAATCTGTGTGTCAGCCTGATTACTAACATTTAACATACTTCCAACATTTGCAATATTGCAACTAAGATGCTGTTCAGTTTACTTCTACATGTTGCTGTTCCATCAGGGAAAAGGAGCACATGCCTATGAAATGTGGCATTTAATATTCCCTTATGGAAAAGATTTCCCATTTGATGAAACCAAAACCAGAGGGCTACAGAAAAGTAACAGGTTTCCTGAAAACTGTCTATAAGATGGATCAAGAAGCAAAAACTTTGCTTTCTAAATATCCTAGAGTTTAATTTCTCTGCTACAAAATTTCAGGGAATTAGACAAGCAGAACGGATGTCAGTCCCCATCCAGTTCAAAAGGATGATGCAGAACCTTAGACCCTTTTTGTTTTCATCCTATTAACTTCTGAAAGCACTTTTCCACATGACTCCTTTTTTCTTCTTGCAGTCTTTTGCTTGTTTTTGCTTTCCTAAGTTGACTTGCAAACCACAAGCAAATCACTCACAAAGGGTTAGTGATTTTTAAACAGGGAAAACATGCTTAATCGTAATTGATGCTTCTGATAGCTGTGCAAAGCTGCCCAAGTGGCAAACAATGCTACTGCAAAAACTACTGAAGCTTTACAGTGTATATTTGCTACATTTATCTTAACAAAACAGCCCCACAGGCTAAAACCACAACTGACTTCTGAGAAACTTCGTATCATCTTCCAAGAACCACTGCTATGAGCACAAACTCAGTCACGAAACAGAGACATCACTGGAATAATTTACCCACCCTTTGTTCTTGGCTCACAGAGATCCGTATTTCCTAAGGCTATGTGTAGGCCTCCATCAATCTCCATTTCACACAGCATTTAGCCATGCCAAAAAAAACACACACAACAGGACCTAGGAAGACTGCAAAGCAGACCAGTTGCTTTTTAAAAATCATAGAGACTAGTGTTTCTGCTTCAGATAAATAGAGAAAAATGTACAGCCTGTACTTTTATCACGTCTGACTTAACAGGGGAGGGAAAACAGCAGCAAGAGTTGCCATATATAAAAGAACAGTATTTTCACAGGTAACATTAGTAGAAAATTAATCTGAAAGACATTTGAGGAAATACATAATTTCTCTTTTTGACCAAATCAGAGACCTGTCTACAGACTAATCATCACCAATTTCATTTTACCACGAGGTTCAATCATTTTGCAGGGGCAGAGTGCCCAAGACTCATCACCATCCTGGGACAGCCCAACCACACTATAGGCAGTGGGCCAGTGGAAACTATTGAAGATGTTAAAAACTGAACAGTTCTCAGCCAGTGCTTGCCAGTATTTAGGGGCAAGGGGCCAGAAGGGGAGCTGTAAATCTGAGTCAATTCCTACTTCATGAAAAAGAGCACATTACCTGTCTACATTCCTCTGACGTACAGTACACACTGTCCCCAACGGGACCTCACTTCTGCACAGTTAGAAATCTCACTTTTATATTTTTGCATTTCAAAATGAGCCTGCAAACAAGATTGGAGGAAGAGGCTAATGAACTGGAAGGCAGGGCCTGCTGCTCTAAGACTTACTACATTTGCTCAGCTGGACTGGGGACATGAGCCTAATGAACACTGCCTGGTGGAGCAGCTTCCTCACAGAACCTACCATGGAACACATGTGCAAGGTCACAATTAAGTGCATCACCCATACACCAGAACTGAGTTTCACAAATTGAGTATGAAACCTGCATTTCTTCCCATTTCACACTCTCATCCCATCTCGGTGTTCTCAATACGGTGCAATAACCCATCTGCCCCTCTCTGGGATCCTGTGTTTCAGCTCCAGAGAGCCTGTGGCTCACATCTTGCTCTGTCTATGTGACATCTACTCTGCAAAGTCACAAAAGTGAGAAAAGCTGTAGACTGTCACCCCAATTTCCAAACCAGACTGTTGACAGGTACTGGGCATAGTGTTTCTTCTGCAGTCAGCACTAAACCACAACCACACTGCAGGCAGTGGAAGGAACAGAAATTCTGCCAATGGTTTTATTAGGATCTGTGTTTGAGCTAGTCCTCTTCAACCAAAAAACCAGAAGATGTAGCAGGATATATTCCAAATACAAGACCTGTATTTTATCAACTCAAACCATGTTTCACACAAATTCCCACACTGTTAACTTGCTGAAACGACTATATTCTCAGCAGCAAATCAGGCTTTTGTGAGTCTGATCAATGACCATGCTGTGCTAGGCAGTCACTAGACAGTTCTTTTCCTCCTCACAGTGATGCTTTAGCACCCTTGCCCAGAACCTTTGCAATGCAGACCTGGTCAATGTGCTAGTGTTTGGACACTTCCATCATAATTCATAGACAATGGCCTTCTTTTATGTTTCTGTTTATCCTCATTACAGATCGCTTGCAGAATTCATCTGTTTAATGGGTAGAGGAATCTCTGCATGTACACACACATACACACACACACACATTCGTTTTTTCTTGGAAATATGTGAGGGTTTGTTGTTGTTGGAGCTCTTAGGAAGTCTAGTAAATGTTTGGCTCCAGGAGCAGCAGATCCTGAATTTCAGGAAGTATTTCTAGTGAGAGATCCTGTGTGTAAAACCATGCCTGGAGAGCCCAATGCAAATTCTGGAGTTTGAGCTCTGCCTCTCTGGTATCTGCTGGAGGGGCAGTAGGTTTGTGCACAAGCAATGCAGGAGATTTATGGAGACCATCGGGGCCAACTTCTTGACACAAGTGACCAACGAGCCAACTAAGGGAGATGCTGCTGGATCTGTTACTCAAAAAAAACCCCAAACTGTTTAGAGATGGAAAGGTGAAGGCAGTCTTTTCTCTGAAGTGTAAGGTCCTTGACTGCCCATGCAGAAAAGCAGCCAAACTTTATCTGGAGCTGTACCAACAAAAGCAGATCCAGCAGGTCAAGAGAAAGGATCTTTATCTTTCTTGGTACTTTAACAATACCTGCATCCAGTTTTCACTTCCCAGTATAAAGACAACATTGACATACCTGAAAGCATCCATCCAAGTACAGAGGACCACCAAGATGATGAGGGAACTGAAGCACAGAGACTAAACCTGGGTTTATTCAACCTGGAGAAAAGTGAAGTGGAATTTACTGCTGCCTTTGACTACCTAATGCAAGCATGTAATGAAGATGGAGCTAGATACTTCTCAGAGGGATAAAATGAGAAGCAATGAACATAGGCTGCAACATAGGAAACTCCAGTTAAATGTACAGAAAAATAATTTCATCTAGAATGTGATTAAATATTGGGAGAGAAGCCTAAGGAGGTTTGTGATCTCCGTCCCCAGAGACAACCAAAACTCACACAGGCAAGCTGATCTCCAACCTGATATAATTGGCCCTGGTGTGAGGACACAGATGAACCAGAGATTTCCAGGTAGCCATTCCAACTACATTATTCTATGAATTCATGATCCAAGTCCAACAGCTATTCTGTATTTCAGAATAGCAGATATTCAGCTGAGAAATGAGTATAGAGAAGCCAAAGCCCAGCTCTGGAAACTAATGAAGGACAACACCCAGTCCTTGTTTCCATTGCATTTGCTCTACAATGACATTTTCTGTCATCATTACGCTCTGTGACACAAGGTGACCACCACCTACATTTAGATATGCACTACAACTGTGTGTAGCTCAGTGTATATATGCAAGGTTACAGGATAATCCTCACTACTGATTATGGAATCATTTATAGTAGCTTTGTGGGACCGAAATTCAAACTGGTACTTTTTAGAGGTCAATACAAAACAAAGCAATGAAAAAATGTTGCATCCAGATTAACACCTTGTGTACTAATCCCCCTTTTTCTTCCTCCAGCAGTTCATACTCTACATCATCGGTTTTAATTGCTCACTGACATCACATCTGGTGCACGGATGAATGAATCTTGGAGCACTTGAAGCATGCTTTATCATACTAAACCTTTCACCTTCTTGCATCCTTAAACAGAGGTAGCCTCATGTATATTACTCATTGCTGAACAGTGTTGAGAGAGGACTTTCATGACATATTGAGGTGTGTGTGGTGAGAGGGGGAAAAGTGTTTTTCCTGTAAGATTCATCCCCTCAAATATCTAAGTAACCTGAGCAGCAGCTTTTCCCAGCTCACGTATACGATGCAGGCTAGCCACAGCACTGGCTTTTGCCTTGAGGAAACCCTATGTAGATACAGTAAATATTTTCAGTAGCTTAAGGATCACACAGATCCATGGCAAAACCCAAAGCATCTCACAATACAAACCAAATCAGGCCACAGTTAGATCTTTAATAAAAGCACTTTTGAGTCAGTGACAAACAAGATACAGCAGACATGACAACTCAAAAAAAATCAAGTTGGGGTTAGAAGTGTGCTGCTGGTGTTTCCAGAGGATTGAACAAGGTCCCTAAACCTAACCATCCCCTCAGTGGCTTCTCAGCCATTCACAACACACTAGAAGCCTGCTAAAAAAAAGTAACTCTTGCCTCACCCCTCTTCAAGTTGGTATGGAAGCAGCATAGAAGATCATTGTTCTAACCAACACTGATGGAGTAAATTAACCCAGAAAAAAAAACCCCAAAGCCTCCAGTTCTAACCTCAAAAGAGGTTAAGTTGGTTTGACAAGAGACCAAACAACCTACACTCCTCCCTACTCACTCTATATTCAGAACATGCACTTCAGTTAGGGCACCCTTGTGAAGAGAACCCTGAAACTGCCAGCCTCCTAATGTTAAGGATGCACCTGATTTGAGCAGGGCATGTCAGAAAGCATCTCCCTGTAGAAACCGTTCCCTATCTTACTGGTTAGCCAGTCTAGAGGTTGTCATATATTTGACAAGACTACACATTTTCATTTAGCAATCTTCTGTCCTGCTCCCCTTACTGGGATATTAAAAGCCAATAAAAATTGTATAGGATCCTTTTCACAATAACATTAGCCAAGTAACCAATTCAATTCCAAGAGTCAGAGTGATCCTCTTGAACAAATAAGGCCCTGAAGCTCCCTTGGTAAGGGGAGAGGTTCTGCAGCACTGAGAGGATAATGGCAAAGGGCTTGTTTCAGAAGCCCAGCACACACAAGCTTTGGAAGGTTGTATCCCTGCTTTGGTCTTTGGGTAGTACCACCTGCTCAGTATCTGTAGTGGTCTGGCTTGAATGGCCCATCTCTTGATAAGCCAAGGTATTTGGCCTGTTTGTCACTCAGCTTTGTCAGCTTCACACACAGTTTATCCAGATGAGCAGCAGCCACAGCTTCATCCAGCTGGAAAACAAAACATTGAGATGAGAATATTAGCAGAACAAATTAGTTCAGGAAGTCATGGACAATAGTGAGACGAGAATGTGAAAAATCAGTATCAGCCCCATGGAGGACTTTGGCTGACAAAGATGAACAGTCAGACAGCTCTTTGCTGGCCAACATACCTCACCTGCTTAAGAGCAGAGGCATCTGCTTCCAGCACAGAACTGCATTCAGATGGAAAAGGCACAAGCTTTTGAGGGACTTAAAAGTTAAATTTAAGTGAGTCAGAGACTCAATCAAGTCCATTTCTATCTCATTAACACAATCACATCCATCCAACAAGTAAAGAACAGAGATAATCTGTTCAGAGACAAGAATATCCATTTTGGTAGAATGGTAAAGCCTCAGTCACATTTCCACTATGAAGACATCTCAACACACTAGGCTATCATCTTACAATTTTAGGTAATTTTAGAGAAGGACTTTGCAGGGGTTGGTTGACTAAAAGCTCCCCATGACCCGGCTTCAGTGTGCGTTTGAACCCAGAACCCCCTGTGTGCTGGGTGCACCCCCAGAGGTCAGCAGCAGGTCAGGGAGGGGATCCTGCCCCTCTGCTGTGCTCTGGGGAGACCCCCCCTGCAGCCCTGATCCAGCTCTGGGGAACAGCACAGGAGGGACGTGGAGCTGCTGGAGCGAGGCCAGAGGAGGCCCCGGAGCTGCTGCGAGGGCTGGAGCAGCTCTGCTCTGGAGCCAGGCTGAGAGAGCTGGGCTGGGGCAGCTGGAGAAGAGAAGGCTCCTGAAGGGGACACCTTAGAGCAGCTCCAGTGCCTAAAGGGGCCAACAAGAACCCGAAGAGGGAGTATCTAAAAATACTTTAAAAAATTTTGGGGATTTCTGAGTACTTCATGTTTTATGGGATGTCCTAATGTGGGGCTTCTGACAAGGGCCTGTAGCAACAGGACAAGGGGGAATGGCTTTAACCTGACAGAGGGGAGATTGAGATTAGACATAAGGAAGTTGTTCTTCCCTGTGAGGGTGCTGAGGCGCTGGCACAGGGTGCCCAGAGAAGCTGTGGCTGCCCCCTCCCTGGCAGTGTTCAAGGCCAGGTTGGACACAGGGGCTTGGAGCAACCTGCTCTAGTGTGGCAGGGGTTGGAACTGGAGGAGCTTTAAGGTCCCTTCCATCCCAAATCATTCTATGATTCTGTAAGTTCTAATACTGGAAAAAATGCATCTCCTTTCCAGATATCCCTGTCTTAGGAGTACACCTATTAAGTAATTCATTCCATAATCATTAATTCAGCAAGAATGCTAGTATCTATTGGCAATGTCTTCATTAAGGAAAAAGCCAAGGTTGGCTGTAGGACACAGGCTCAGAAATGTTGATATACTTTACTCCACATGTGCAAGGCAGACATGCAAACTCAAAGGATGGAAAAAACATGTAAAGTTATAAGACAGTTATATATTACAAGAGACAGGTACAAAAGAGTCCAAAAACACTAGAATAGCAAACTAGCTGCTACGTCAGAGGGGAATGTAAGAGCCATAGAGGATATTCAAAGATAGAACAGCCCTAAGAAGAAGGATAAGTTTTACCACCATTTGTAATTCCTACAAAGTACAAGTAATCATTGCTAAGGAAACAGAGAAGGCAAGTCTAAATTCCAGCAGTACAGGAAAGACTGGCAGTATTTCCCCCATACTAGTTAAATACACCCAAAAGGTTGCTATATATTTGAAGGGCAATAAATCTACAAAACAATCAAGAGCAAGATCTTCAGCTTCTGTGAACCAGCATGTCCTAAATGATTCAATAACTAGTACTAGACTTCCCACTCAAATGGAGTATGGTAACAAGCAACTACCTTGAAATAATTCCATTGCAATGAACCAGATATAAAGCTACATCTTTATCTGTACAGAGTAGCATTATACAGAGTGTAATTTGCTGCAGATCAACCTGCTCATAGTAAGTAATATGGAACTGCCAACCTCTCCTGAGCACCAACACAGCCAAAGATGTACAAGACAAAATTAGAAACATAAGATGAAGTGGTTGAAGAATGTAGAAACAAACCATGAAAGCTACTGAACACTACAGTAGAGTCAGGAAAATCACAACAGGAAAAGCCAACGGGAAGGACTGTGTTTAGCAGGAAAACAAGTCCTTAAGGTTAGCAGATCCTGACAAAAAAACGAAAGAGGGTTAAAAATTGAATGCATATTTGGTTGACTAGAGTGACATGTGACAATCTAATAAGTGTATTTCCAGCAAGTTTAAGACAAACTACACCCACTTGAAAAGGAGCCGAGTCCCTGACATCGCCCAGATCAGGTTCTCAAACTGCAGCAGAGAAGCTGTTTCACAGCAGCTTCAGCTTGGGGCCTTCAAGATTCAAATGAAAAGCTACACAAATTTAGATGAAAGTAAGCTGACATTCTGTCCTGGTTTTGCCTGGGATATTTCCTTCCTAGTAGCTGGTGCAGTGCTGTGTTTTGGCTTTACTCTGAGAATAGCACAGATAGCAACAACTAAAACTTTGGTGTGTTAAGTAATGCTTACCCTGATGAAGGACTTTTCAGTCTTGTGCTCTGCCAGTGAGGAGGGGCACAAGAAGCCAGTAGGAAGCAGAGACAGGACATCTGACCCCAACAAGCTAAAGGGATATTCCATACCACAGCTCATTATACCCAGTATATAAACTGGGGCAGTTGGCTGGGAGGAACCTATTGCTGCTCAGGTTGGGCTGGGTATCCATCAGCCAGTGGTGAGCAATTGCATTGTGCCTTACTTGTGTTGTTTTCCTTTCCCCTTCTTAGTTTTATATTCTCTCCCCTTGTTATTTACCTTATTATTATTATATCGTACTTCAGTTATATAACTATTCTTATCTCAACCTACATTCTTTCAATTCTCCGCCCCATGCGGGAGCGAGCAAAAAGCTGTGTGATACTTAGTTGCTGGTGCGTTAAACCACAACACATTCCTACCTTAAAATCAGATAGCTGAGTATGATTATGCACAGGTTCAGCACCAAGACCGCAGACAGAACAGTTTGCCTGGATTTCCAGAAACACACACAGCAGAAACATGTGCATGTTTGTAATAGCTTATCATCAAAGCAATATTCTTGCAGTCAAAAAAAAAGTGCAATATAAGGTACTTAGTAATTCTTGAATTTTACATTTGGACCTCAAACCTACTACAGAGAACAAGGAAAGATACCAGCCAGAAAATTCTCAGGGAAAGCTCTTCTGCCCGTCTTTAGTTGATTCTGACAAGGCAAATCTTCTATTCTTTGAAATTCTCTATGGAGAGCAGAGGGTAAAAAGAGCACGTTGTCACAGTACATGAACCTGAAGAGATCACTGCCATGTGCTTCACTAACATGCAACTCCATTTCTAAGTAACTGACCTGGGCATTATTTCTCATTTCCAGTTCAAGTACACTAAAAAACTGTTATTCAGGAAAAGTATGTAGCCACATTTTGTTAGCATTGGACTATTATTTTCAAGACAACTGTCAACAAAACTTTTCCTTTGAAGCTGATGTGTCAGCTTGCTGATCAACTCCTATGCTGTACTTCTGGTATGCTTTCATTAACATGATTTTGGAAGCTTAAGTCCTTCAGCAAGCACTCCATAAGTAAGCCCAAATATACACATCCCACTTCCCAAATGAAAAGTATTTTCCACATTTAATCTCACACGTGGTTTCACTCCAAAGGCAGTGGAATTTAACGCCAGCATCTTTTTCAATGACCATCTCAAATTCTCAGGCTCTTTTGGAAAACTAAAACCAGGTTAATTTTCTAAAAGGAATTTGTGAGTTATGACATGTCCAGATTTTTCCAAGAACAAAGAATCCCAAGATAAGTTTAAAGGGAAACCTGAGGGAATCTGTCATTAATATTTTATGATGCTATTATGACTGGGTTCTGATAAGCTCTGCTCAGGTGCAAATAGAATCCAGCAAAAGTGATCCCTAGTTTCATTCCAGCTTCAACTCTGCCCCACTAGACTTTGCTGCTGGATGGGCATGTGAAAGCTTGCTGTGAACACTGACATTCAGCAGAAGGAACAAGTTGTTAGGAGAAGCTTCTTACTACCCTGAGACAGCACAGGGCTTCCCAGCACCTTAGGGAAGAGCACCAGGTCAAGCCAAAAAGTGACTGGACATTCCTATCACAGGACAGACAAGTCCCAGTTCTGCACACAACACGTAAGCCACAAAAACCAGCCCACTTCAGACTCAGCATGATCAAAGCCAAGCATCTGCCAAGTGACAAAAGCTCCTCTCAACAGCATTCAGTAGGAAAATGAACTCAAGCACAAACAGAACAAATGCATGTGATCACACTTGAAGCTGACTTCCTTACGAGCTTGCATCTTCCTGCTATTCTAACTCACCTTCTTTGGCAGGAAATGGACTCCAACAGCATATTTATCACTATTGGTCCACAGCTCGATCTGTGCCAGCACCTGGTTGGTGAAGGAGTTGCTCATAACAAAGCTGGGGTGACCCATGGCACAGCCCAAGTTGACCAGTCGGCCCTCTGCTAGCAGTATAATGTGACGGCCATTCCTCAGTGTGTAGCGATCCACCTGGGTGGGAAAAAGAAAGAGCAGTGTTAGGTCAGGGTAAAGAGAGCACTGTAAATCATGCAAAGCTTTGTGGGCTTTCTTCCAATTCAGCAGCAGGCTTGCAATACAGACTTTGATTACAATTGAGACACCCATTCCTCAATTTCCCACCAACATTTGTGAAGCTCACAACTATGCTGGATTTTGCACATGAATTTTAGCATCTGCTTTTCATATGGAACCAGTTACCTAGTTCTTGGGGCTTCTCTACATGTGTTCTCAGATGGCTGTGGTGAGGAGGATGCTGCTAGCAGTAGAATGCAGCTCATTCATGCTTAATTGTAACAAGTGGTGTGGAAAGACAGGAGAGAAAAGGGAACACCTCAGCGGCAAACAGTCCAGAGCCTTTGCATCTCATACACGGGTAAGAGCCAGAGTCCCAGCCTGCTGAAGCTGCTCCCCTGTAACTCCTCCCACTCTCAAAAGGCCAATGCTTTATAGTATAACAAACAGCTATCCTAGCTTCTGCTGCAACCCCCTTTTGCTGCCAGGGGGCCAAAGACATGGTCCTCCACCCAGACTGATTTTCAAGCTATGCTGGGTACAACAGGACTCTGCACACAGAATCAAGTCTCAGATGAGCTAAGGAGAAGGGTCTTCAGCTATGTAAGAGTCTCACACAGTTCATGAGGTAATGTCGCTTAACAGGTACCTCAATTGCCTGGGCCAGATTGGGCTCCTGGCCAATGTTAAATTTAACTCTGCTTCTCATCTGCACCAGTCACTAGCTCTTTTCTCCCCTGCCTTCATCCCTGTAGGAGGTTACAATATTAAAGTCCAGAATCAAGCATCAATATGGGCTATAAGTTACAAGAAAATTCAGTACTCTTTAGTATTTATTGGTCATGTCACACCAACCGCATGGGAGTAAAGCAAACATTTGGAAAGACTTAAAAGATAGTCAACAACCAACCTGGACAAAGGTTAATGCTTCAGACCACTTACACTGCCATAGAAAAACAACTGTGAAATACTTAAAAGGGTTCCTCCCCACAGCTGTATTATACTTTTAGACTTATTAAAGTTATTTAATGTGAAACAAAACACCTAGCACTCAATTTTAGTCTTAAACCTTTGGCCTGTAAGTTAAAAGCCATGTGGGATGAAGCTTTAATTGTAACAGTACTGTCTTCTGAAAAGCCCATCTTCGTACAGGTCCTTAGCAGAGATGTAATAACTAAACCAACAGAAACCATTTTACTGAATAGGTGTTTTGCATTTAGAGCAGGTCTGTGCCTCCACCTGTCTTCTCCAGCAATGCTTCAATCACAGCACCGTTTCTGTTTCTTGGGTTCATAACACAAATTGTTTTTTCAGCACAGATGCTGACAGTAACCACCCCAAACAGCAGCCCTAAATAAATTCTTAATTTCTGCTGTCCAAGAGCAGTGCAGCAAGGCAGGGTTAGTAAGCACACTCTCCACTGAGCAGTTGCAATATTTCTTGTGGATGCTGATTCCCCACTTGGACCACCAGTGACAATGCTCAGTCCACCCAAAAAATACCATATAGATATTGTAAGATTATGAGAGGAAGAAGTGAAACAAAGAAGGAAGCACCCATAAAGCAGAACACTAAAAACCCTGAGAACAGCTACAATATTATATTTAATATTTTACTTACAAGGTAGCAGCTGAGTATCATTTCAGTTTTAAAGTCCGGATGGTTTAGGTGTCCAAATGTTACATCCATATAATATCCACACAACTTGCACCTGGCCAGTTGCTGGCTTGGGCAGGGAATCAAATACCTTCAGCAGCTCCTGATGTGACCCAATCAATGCAGACTAACACAGAATACGCCAATTAATGTATTCCCACAGAAATAAATACCAAATAGCAGTGGTACCACCAGAGGCTTAAGTCAGTACTGTGGAAACACATTCATCTATGGGCAGATAAACAGGCTGATTCATAAGCTCAAGAAACTGCTACAGAAGTAGAATTCAAGTTATCCAAGCACTAAGTTCATCTCCACACTTACACAAACACCTCTTCCCTTTTCCCATCAGCATTTAGCTGCTCTAGACCTTCCGGCTGCCTTGCACTTCCCTCCACACCATGATACACAATTTATTTTCAGAGGCAAAGTTCATTGATGCCACCTTTCCCTCTAGAGTTGAGCTTGTGCTACACATCAGTCTCCAGTACCAGAGCACAGCTGCAGAGGGCTGCAGTGCAAACCCATCTGCAAAACAACCTGCCAGCGTTTCAACACTAATTCTTCCTTAACTGTACTTTGAAAGCAACAGATGAGTCAGAACGGCACAGTAAGAAGTATTCCTTTCCCAAGTATTAAACACTTCTTACACCAGCTCACTGCTTGTAAATGGAGACCATATGGTACTGAAAACTAGCATGTGGGACACTCCCACAACTACTCTGTACCTCTAGCTGAAGTCTAGCAACCCTCAGCTCCAGTATTAACCCTCTGATCAAGAGATAGATGTCTTCACAGGAGGTTAGAGATTTTTGCTGTTGACCTATATCCCCCCCCCGTCCCCCGCTGCAGGATATAGAAAAAAGCTGCAAGATGTCAGTAAAAATTTAAGTATTTGGAGACTTGGTATCATAAAACATAAGATACCTCACCCAGAACACTGATGTGAAAACCACGTTATTCTAAGGATAAGTGCAACATCTCACAGGCCTGGCCTCCCATTGAGGTCCCCAAAAGACTAGGGACAAGACAACCATGGAAGCATCCCTTTCATGAATCTGAAAAAAAAAACCTGAGAAACCAGCAATGGTTTAAGTGGCAAACTGGTAATTTCCTTCCCAGATTTCAGTGTAAGAGCAATTCTATCAATTATTATAATGACTCTTCAACTGCTGCCCTGCAAAAGGTTTCAAGACATGCACATGGAGAGGGACAGAAGCTGCAGGATACCTCCTGGAAGCTTGTTTTGAAATCTAAAGTTAACACATGTCCTGGAAGAGTTAAGCAATTGCAGCAAATTTCTACTTTTAATTTGTTTCAAGCATGGAATTTGCAACTCTAAAGTCACATTTTGCCTCTCCCTCCTGCCTCTCCCTCTTTTGGAACAAGTATGCTTTTAGGATGTGTATTAGTCCGTTCCTGCTCAACTGCCAAGCCACCACGGCTGTCAGGGACAGAGAATGAAAAAGAATACTGAAGCTTTTCCACAGCAGAACTTGTTCACATAACATCTCCTCAGCAGGTACTTCCTCACCCTGTCATGCAGGTCTGAAGTTTTTAGGGACAACAAATCTAAACAGACACAAAATGAAGCATAGGGATATACCGCTATCACAGCACGTACTATTAAGTACACCAGTAAGAGTCCAACTGGAGACTCAAACTAGTTAACAGTGCTTCATATTCACTGGTCAAAGTCAGCAAAACCCAAGGACTATCCCTGAATCAGACCAGCTTTTATTGGGCTTGACAGCGTACACATCTATAGGCCATCCTCACTTCAGAAAGCTTCAGACACACAGAATGGCCATGGAAGATCAGGTTTACCTCTATGTAAAAAATCCCCATCTCCAGTGGCAACCAGTAGATTGGTAAGCAAAAGTCCAACAATAGGCCAAGGGTAAAATGCTATTTCCCTCAGTAAATTCTCTCAGCTCCACTATCTGTGCATCAAGCAGAGACAGAGGTGGTCCACTCAGGGCTGTGAGAGCTTTACCTTTTACAAGCTTTAGCTGATTCCTTTCAAACAGGTAGGTTTTCAGCATTAAACCACATGGATGACCTTGACCCCAATTCCACCCTTTTGAAACAGTAATATTCTGGTTTTAACCAGAAACTTGTTATAGCTTTCATAACTTGGACTAGCCTGCATCTCACTCTACTCAATACATCTGTGACAGACTGGCTCCTTCAATACAGTATATAATGAAAAAGGGACTACTACCTCTGCCAGTAGTGACAAATTTTTCACATGGACTTTAGGAGCCACACTGAATGGCCATGTGCAGGTAGTTTGTATGTTACCATACTAGCATCCAAGTTAGCCTTCAACAACATTTACTTTCTGAGCAGTCCCAGTTCTAGTTTTAAAACCTGAGCTAGCAGAAAGCAAGCAGCTAGCTATAGGCTTCTCTAGGACAAGAGCTGCTGTGCAAAATCAGCTCCACCCTAAGGTCATAAGCAAGAACAGACTTGAACATAGTGAGAACTTGAGGGTATAACATTATATATTCAAGTTGAGCCCACACAGAGTGTCCCAACAGCAAACACAATCCTGAAAAGACTCTCAACTGTTTAGTAAGGGTTTGATGTGGGTAGCCCATAAGCCACTGGGGAGTTACGAAAATTGGAAGGGCAGATTAAGATCTACTATGTATGTATGTATGTATGCTTGGGTGTGGTGTTTTTAAAAAAGTAGAAAACCTGTCCCAGAATCCTGCTATCAGCAAGCACACTCCCTTCTTAAAAGTCAACTAGAAGTCCCATGCCAAGGCAGACAAAGCCTGGTTTGCTTTATGTGGTATTCTCCCTCAAAGCCAGTGTTACAAACCAGTTTTGATTTAGTTTCTCTGCTTTGACACATAGCTGAAAAGCTGAAATTTTAGATCCCCATTTCCCTATTGTCATGGTTTAAGCCCTGCTGGTAACTCAGAACCACTCAGTCACTCGCTCACTCTGCCCCCGGCTCCCAGAGGGATGAGGAGGAGAATCAAAAGAATGTAAATCCCACAGGTTGAGACAAGAACACTTCAGTAACTAAGGTATGATACAAAACCACTACTGCTACCACCAGTAATAATGATAAGGGAAATAACAAGGGGAAAGAATATAAAACTAAAAGGAGAAAAGAAAAAGAAAACAATAAACACAAGTGATGCACAATACAATTGCTCACCACCCGCCCACCGATACCCAGCCTGACCTGAGCAGTGACCTGGGCCTTCCGGGTAACTCTCCCCAGTTTATATACTGGGCACAACATGCTGTGGTATGGAATAGCCCTTTGGCCAGTTTGGGTCAGGTGTCCTGTCTCTGCTTCCTTCTGGTTGTCTGTGCCCCTCCTCACTGGCAGAGCATGAGACTGAAGAGTCCTTGATCGGAGTAAGCATTACTTAGCGACAACTAAAACATGGGTGTGTTATCAGTGCTGATCTCTGACTAAAGTCAAAAATGCAGCACTGCACCAGCTACTACAAAGGCGAAAAACGACTGTTACAGCTGAAGCCAGGACACCTACGTAGCTACAGCCATACCTTGAAGTAAATACATGGTGGAACTGCAAGCTGAGGAAGGATAACACATCTGGCCTTCTCTGGCCACACGCAGACTTCTGGTGTACACAGGGTTCTAAAATGAAGCCATTAAGTCTTTGAAGAGAAGCCTGAGTTGGGCAGAGCTCCAGATAGACTTTCCTGAGGCTTCTGTGTGACTGAAAAAAGCACTTTGAAAACAAAGGTGTGAATTCTTAAGAACCTTGACTGAATACCAAAATTTCCCTGACATTTACTCTAGTCCTGGCACACAGCACTAAGACCACGATTGTTCTTGTGCAGAGCAGTACATGAGCAAGTAGCTTTGAGAAGAAATTCAGATCAGCCACCAGGCAACCTATGCACTCTGTTGTTAAGTTTTATATGGTCTCTATGGTCTGTTCTAGCTTGCTTTTTGAAACTCAGTTATGACGTTGGTTTTAGCTCAGGGCTATCAAAGAAAGCACACTTACATACCTCCTCATCATACCCCAAATGTCAAAGCTGACTTCCTATAAGGAATCAGCTTGATGCAATAAATTGTTTACACAGCCACCACTAAGTGGTAGGCTCCTGTTTGTCAAGGAAGTAGGAACACATGGAGAAAGATGCATCCACACGCTGTACACACTTGGGCACTGGCTGGAACCAACTGTGTTAATACCAACACGAGAATATATCATGCAGCTTGTTTCAGTTTAATCAAGGAAGAGTGGAGTAGAATCTCCATTCTATCAGCCCAGAGCAATAAGAAAGCTAAACACAAAGTACCTTCAAAGAAATAACGTCCCTTTCTGGAAAGAGACACTGAGTAGCTATTGGTTTTCTAGCAGGAGAGCTTGCACAAGGGCTGTCTCACCTGAGGTTTAACATTCACCGCTTCTACTGCATTTTCATTCAGCCATTTTGCATCAACTTCCACATCAAAATGGCCAATATTACACACTATGGCATCATCCTTCATCTGCTCAAAGTGCCTGCAAAAAAAAAAAAAAGTTACATTAAAAATTAATGCACAAAAAAATTTTCTTCAGCAAAAGAAGATGCTCTGGTCCATAGCTCTGTCCAAGGAGAAATGTTAAGTGCTCACTGATTGCATTTGACTCCTGTAAGATGTGTGGGTCTGGTAACCTTGCAAGCATGCAAATTCTACTGGAAAAAAGCTTTCCAGTTTCTAGGGAAGGAAACTTCCCAGGGATGTAAGAGGTTATTGAGGAGAAAATATTTTCCCAGTATAGAAAGTAAAACTATTGTAATTGGGCAAAACTGAAACATGTTTACTCACAGATGGAATTACTTTCAACCTTTACCTACCCCCTCTCTTCACATTTAGCTGTCCTAACACAGAATTTAGGCTTCTGGAGAATAAGAGCCTCAGAGCTATCTATCCCTCTACACCTTTTGTTTCCACATCATCACATGCTGTAAGACAGAACAACTGCAACATGGCAATATCCAACTGAACTGAAAGACCAAAGCTCTGATTTCTCACCAAATAGATGCTAAATTCTGATGTCCTGCAATGAGACTGTGTGCTAACCCTCACCATACTGCTGACAAGTTGTGATTGTATTTTAAACCAATCTAACTGTACAGGTATGCTTTTCACTAAAGCAAGTGGTTAGACCGTACCTGCCCTGAACAATATCAGTGCAGCCAGTTGTGGTAACAAAGATATTGCCTTCTTTGCAGGCCTCCTCCATGGTTGTAACTTCATAACCTGAAAAGAGAAAATGTTATTCCTCTATCCAGCACCAGCACTTACTAAAAAATGAGATACAATATTTCAAGTAGAAAAGTATGGAGAAAGAATGAGTAAGAAAAGTCTGTGCCAACACCTGACCTATGGAGGATGCAAAGTAGCAGACATACTTGTCTTACTAAATACCAGCACAGCACGAAAATGCCTATCCCTCACCCATTTCCAATCTGTAGATCTATACATTCAGTGTCTTATGTCCATAGGCTTAGTATCTGGCACAGCACTCAGACTGAATTCAGGGGTCAAGTTTGCAAAGGGAAGGACACCCACAACACCTGCAGGTTCTAGTCAGGTATGAACAGAAATGGGATAAACTGGTACTAAGTATAATTAATGGTCACCCACACAAAGAGAAGGAGCACAGCTTCCAGAGCATGCCATAAGCACAGCTGGAAAGACAGAGAGTGTGGCATCTTAATGCATGCTGGAGGTCAGAGTGACACAACTTGAAGACAATGAACCCGTTCTAAAGCAGGCTTAGTGTGGCCTACCCCACTACAGCCTCTGTAACATTGACTCCAAACACATCTTCAAGGCCTACACTAATAAATTCCTTCCCTAACTGCCAGGAAAGAATTCCTACAGTTAAACTGGAGTAATCTCTACCTCAACAGGGAGGGGGCTGAAACCCACTAAAACTTCCTTGGCCAACTATCACCTGTTGCTCTACACTGACACACAGACCCCCCTGTCACATGCATTAATTTCTACGTCTCCTTCAGTTCTCACCTTCCATGGCTGCCTGCAGTGCGTTGATGGGGTCAATTTCAGTGATGATGACTCTGGCTCCAAAGCTCCGCAGGGCCTGAGCACAGCCTTTGCCCACATCACCATAACCTGCCACAACTGCCACTTTCCCAGCAATCATGACATCTGTAGCACGCTTGATGCCATCGATGAGGGACTCTCTGCAACCATAAAGGTTATCGAACTTGCTCTGAGGAAGAAAAAGGAGCAGTTTCAGAACTGATGAAAGTCAAGTAAAAAGTCTTTGAAGAAGCAAAATTGAGTTGTGTTGGTAGTACAAACCAGGATGCTGTGTACACAGGTAGGTCCGAGCTCCTTAACCAGATGCTCACCAGTTCTCTGCTGCTGTTTATCAGACAATGAACTGAACCAAGTGCCACAGGTAGGCAAAAAAATGCCAGCAGAATATCTGGACAACTTATTATCATCTTTGCAAGACACATGCACCCTGCAGAAGCAGCAAGGTGCCCACATTAACCATGAGAAATTGGTTCCTGCAGTCCAGGAAGATGAAAATAGCATCTTCTCCCAGGAAGAGTTACACTAATGCTGCCAGACTGCTCAGATCTAGAAAAATCCAAGAAGGAGCCACTCACAACAGTGGTCCCTGCAACCAAGGTCCCCTGGACTTCCTCTCCTAATGCCCCATTGCAGAACATCCTCCTACTGTTACATTAACACATGAGCTTAATAGCCAGACCTCCAAATCAAAGTTCCTATGCGAAGTCAGATGACAAATAATACTCCACTTGAACATAGTCCTAAACTCAGTAGCATGTGGCTGTACTGATTTTTCTAACACCCTCCTTTTTCTCTTTGGGCCCCTTTGTTCTGACCAGGAGGATGGGCTGTATAAAGAGATTTGATTATCTGAAGAGCTACAGAAGCCAAGAAGTTAAAACCAGCTGGCTACCAAAGTTGTGCTATACTTCCCAAGAGAGGCATAAAGAACTCACCATTCGCAACAAAATTCTGGTCTCAAAGCCTGCCCTGCTGGTGATATCGAGCATGTGTAAGGTGATGTTATAGTTTGGGATTCAGTCTACAGCTTACAAATTTTTTATAATAAAAGCACAAATTCCATCGATATAGATTTATAATAAAAACAAAAATAAAAATATTGTGGCTACAACTCCAATACATCATCTGAGCAAGTTACAAGGTATAGGGGCATGCTACTCCCAGCTTCAGAAGCTGGCAGAGGACTAATGTGTAAGAACTTGTACTTCAGATCTAGAAGTTCCTGACTCAGTGCTTGTAAGTCTTATTGCAGGCACACTTGCCATTAATATTTCAGAAAAATCATGTCCTTCAAAATTCCAAGCTGGTGGCAGTTGGTAATGCTCCTTTCTAGTCCTCCAGCAGATTTTCCTTGCAGTATAAACCTTCTTGTAGAGGAAAACAGGACGGTCAGATTCGATTCCTCATCACTAAATGCCCCAATTACAATGAAAGTCTTCAGGTGCCTGTGTATTCCCATGCAGGCAAGTTAACAGAGTGCCAGATGCAGACATCTGTCCCACCCAAAAATACATTTGAGTGGCAGGAGGGAAGAACAGAACTGGATGCTGCCTACCTTCTCTCTCCAAATACCAGTATAGGAACCTGGCAACCAACATAAATATCTAACTAGGAGAGAAGAATTTGTCAGCTCAGTTGCATGTCTTCCTGGAGATGTACAGCTGTGGTTAGTATCAATCATTTACTAGATAAATAACAAACACCACTTGAAAGTAAGCACGTGTTTGGCACTAGAATAAAGTGAGCTTAACCCAAATCCACTCAAGAGGCTTTATAAGAAACATCTGAATTTCCAAATCTGCTAAAGAGTATTAATAGTTATTGTGCAGGAGGCACAATTCTAGGTGAAAAGGATGCAAAGAGAAAAAGCTTTCTCCAAGACCAAGTGCATTCCAGACCACTAGCTATGAAAAAACCACCAGATGCCTCTTTGTGAGCAGAAAGGAGATACTCTTCAGGCAGCAAACTGCAGAGAAAGCAGGCCAAACAGTCAGTGAGAACTGCCATGCCCAACAGGATGATGTTAGTATGGTAACTTGATTTAGCAACTAGACTTTAAGCATGTACATGCATAAAGCCTTAAGCACACCTCTAATTCCCACTGTAATTCATCTGCATCCAAAAAGCACCAACACTTTGAACACCATCCCCCCTCATTGTGGGGGAAAGTTATGATGATCTTGGTTTGAATATTGGCTCAGACTGCATTAATGTTGGCTTGAGCATGAGCGACCTTGAATCACAGGCAAACTGACCGGGGAAAACCAAGGTGGAGAGCAGAAATAACAACTACAAGATACAACAGAACAGATTGCAATAATAAATGATCTTTGGCTTGCTGGCAACCAGGGGTCCATGCCTTTAATATCCACAAATGGTGCCCACCGTGGGGCACAAAAGCTGACGATAGAGCACCAGTGGAGAGCTGACCGAACTAAAGAGCAGTGGACCAGAGAGCTGCAGCCTGGGCACAAGGATCACTGACAGGTGAGCGGTCAGGACGATGGGGTCACAAATGGTGACAGAAGACTATAGTAACTCTTACTTAAGATTCCTGCAAGACAGGCAATCACATATGATGAAAAAGCAGTTAAGTCCCTGCTGATTTGGCTGAAAGGTCAGGGACTTGAGGCAAATTCAAATACCTCTTTTCAACTGCCAATGTGGGAGACAGCAAAAGAAAGGTTGTGGGACGCTGCCTCCCGTGGAGACACATGAGTGATTCCCCTGCTGACAACTTGGCGAGTGATCTTTGAGGCCTTAAAACAGATACATGGCGGTCAAAGACAAGCGGGGTGCAAACACCTCCACCCACCCCTGTTTCTGAGGGTTCTGCTGCAAGTTCTCCCACCCTTCTACTACCTCAGCCTCCCCCTTCGAGTGGAGTTGTTAATGCAGCATCTCCATCTGCCGCTCTCCCTGCTCTGCAGGATCTATCACTTGAAGATAGGGAGGAATATGACCCAACGATGAGATGGGCTTCACTTCGAAAGCAAGCTGCAGCAGAGCAGGAGATCATCAATTTGAATTTCCTTGTGATAGTGCAAAATCGGGGACCAAATACCTGGGAACCCATGCGATGGGAGCTGGTAAAGGGACTGTGAAAGACCATTATGCAATACAGTCTAACTTCCTCATTTGCACGAAGTTTATTACAAATGGCAGTTCCTGAAATCAGCAAGGACTAGATAAAATTAGCAGTTTCTCACAAGAGCTAGTTCCTAACTGGCTGAAGCTGACCTTGTAGTTTGGAGAGAACCCAAGAGAACTTTGAGCATGTGTGAAACCAAGGGGTGAAAACTACATGGTGAGGAAGATCTATGGCCTTCATCCCCCACGACCCCAGAAGACCACCACCAGGAGACACTGCACAGGTGCAAGAGGAAGGAGCCCTAATTTTAATACGAAACAGGGATAGGTCATACATATGTATAGGCGTATTAGGAAACCTTATGAATATGTAACAGTTAACTATAAATTTGAAGCAAGTTGTCATGCCAGGGCACACGGCTTTGTGGGACAACTCCCCCTGCTGCACAGTGCTTCCTAAACATACCTGCTTTGCAGTCTTACAGACTGTGGAGTCTGCTTTCCGCACATCAGTTTGGCGAGCCAGGCAGGAGGTCCTCTGCTCTGCCACGGAGCGGAGGCTCCTGGGCGCGCCCCGATGCTGCCGGCCGCTCACCACGGGAGCAGACAACAACCTCCTGAGGCCGCGGAAGCAAACAGTCATTTTGTAAGAGGGACGCATAAGTCGTATGCGTGGTCAGGGCAGCTGGTAAATCGCACAGAGACATCTGGCGTGCAGCATAGCCCATAGGGGAGGAGGGTACCCGATATGGCAAGAAGGGGATTTGCTGACCGATAGGGCGGCCGCTAGCGTTCTTGGGAGTAGATTGAGCAAATCCGAGGTCGCCGCTGAATCCCAGTGTCAGGAGCCAGGATGGACCTGCTAATGACTGGTATGTAAGAAGCAGGAGAAGGGTAAGCGGGCCTCTTGCAATTGCGATAAGATTACTTGCAGCGGCTGGATGGATGACATCTGGAGTGATAATTGTGTTACTTGTATACCCGGGAATTTTATGTTAAAAGTTTGTGTTTGCATGCGCATGTAATGTTTAAGTAGCTTATATGTCCATGTAAAGTGACCAAAGAGAATAGCGGTGGATTGGGCCCAAACCTTAGGAATATTTAAAAGAGGGAGGGCATTGGATAAACAGGGAAATGAATGATTTTATTTAAAGGGGGCATATGTGACCACCGCAGGGCAGAAGGTGGCCTTGGGAGCAACCTTCGGATTCTAAGTTCCAGTACTAATGTATTAGCAAGGGTGATTTCCTGCTTTACATGTGGACTTGTTTCTAGATTATATGAAAACTCGTACCAGGTTTGGGTTTTGTTAAAGTGTCAGTGTTGCTACTGTAAGCATCACTGGTATTGTGATTCACAATTTAGGGAAGGATTATGTAGTTTGTCGAGGGAGCCAGCCTGTACCTCTCAAAGCCAATATAGTTAAATTACTGTGCAGTAAATCGCACCTTGTCCCACAGGTAGGGGAAGTTTGTGAAAGTGAGTGGGAAGACACAAAAGAGCAGTGTCAAAGGAGGTACTGGTGGAAAGGCAGATCAATTCAACTCCCCACTTTTACGCATTCCCCTGAGCAATTGGACGGATCTTGATCCCCATGCTTTATATGAAACACCAAATAAGTGCCATACCATGAATGTGACTTTGGAAGGGGTACCTTTCGTGATGACTATGGTCAATACCAGTTTATTCTACATTCAGTATAATACCTCAACCACTGTTAACCTAGGCACGTTAAACCGAACGGTTGGTAACTGGTCCAGGACTGCTGTGCTCCTAAAGCCAAATACAGGTGTAAACCAGAGGAGAATATACCAATAGCACACTTAAACAATCATGGGCTGATTACTTATATAGCAAGACTACCACCCAAGTGGCAAAGGCCATAAATGATACTTGTAATCTGCCTGATGGATATTGGTGGTTATGTGGCGATGCCCATGCTAGAAAACAATTGCCAAGGAATTGGACCAGAGAATGTACTTTGGGGATCCTGGCCCCTCCATTGCAAATCTTTGACCAGTCACACTTGCAAGGTATATTGCGAGATACATGGAAGAAGGTCAGAGGAAAAAGAAGCATCAGCAATCCTTTGTCCCGTTATAATACCGGATTTCATAGCTTTGTTAGGACATTTATTCCTATGCTGGGGATTGTTCAATTGGAACGAGCTATAATTAACATTTCAGCTGAGATGGAAATAATAGCCAATACCACAGCAGATGCAATTCTGGGGTTAAAATGAGGAACAGATTCTGTAAAAAAATTGGTATTATAAACCCAAATGGCCCTAGACATTTTAACAGCACAGGCAGGGGGAGTCTGCACTTTAATAAATGAGAGTTGTTGTACCTTTTATAGACCAATCATAGCAAATACAGATGTTCAAAAAAATATGGGACCATGCTAAAATTCTCCATGAAGTTTCAAAGGATGATGGACTTTCTTGGTTACACGGAATATTGAGTAGCTGGGAAATTACAGGCTGGCTCCAATCAATTGTAACAGCTGGATTGTTTATATTAGGCATGTTTCTTTGCATTATAATGGTTATACCTTGTTTGTCATCTTGCCTACAGAATATGATGCAAAAAATGTTTCGTTAGGTGATGTTTATAGAAAAACAAAAAGGGGGAGATGTGGGGGGAAAGTTATGATGATCTTGGTTTGAATATTGGCTCAGACTGCATTAATGTTGGCTTGAGCATGAGCGACCTTGAATCACAGGCAAACTGACAGGGGAAAACCAAGGCGGAGAGCAGAAGTAACAACTACAAGATACAACAGAACGGATTGCAACAAAAAGCAGGACTAAGCAAGCAGAAAATTGTGGTGTAGACAGTGGCAAAGAACCAATGGAAGAGCTGGAAGCGGCATGTGAACACAGAGACTGAACCAATCATAGCAGCTTAGCTAATGCAAGCAATATTAATATTCTATGTAAGGCAATATAAACCATTAATAAATGATCTTTGGCTTGCTGGCAACCAGGGGTCCTGGCCTTTAATCTCCACACCTCATCCCCAAATTCACCAGGATTTGTCTCAGGAGGCAGTAATAAGTATATCTAAGAACGGAATAAATACCTCCTGCCCTATCCTTTGCGACTTCTGCTCAGAGATACCAGACCTTTTTCCAACTGGTATCCATCACCTATCTGTGGGCTTTAAGCTACTCAAGAGCGAGGACATGTCCCTTGCCATAGGAACTGTACACCAGGAGCCATGATCTCCATAAGTGTTTTCACATTGAGATGTAGAAGAATGCATGTCTTTACATATAAGAAAAGCCCTTCATATTCCAAAAACATGGCACTTCCCATTAGAGACATCGTGGGTTCACTTCAAGGATATGGTGAAAATCTGTTCAGTACCAGATCAGGAAAAGCTCAGCAAGAGAAGGAGTACTTGCATGGATACACTGACATCCCCACACCAAACCGGTCAGACAGCAGAACAGAGCAGAAGGGCTCTAGCTGCATTACCTTGGTGACAGAGTCATTAACATTGATAGCTGGCACTTTCAGGGTCCCATTGGCCTTCATCTTGTACAGGTTGTGAACTCCAGTGGTTGTCTCTTCTGAAATACCTCTAATTCCTGTGAGGAGAGAAAAAGGATTCACCTTAGCTGGAGTTAACACCACTGCAAACTATCACTGGGAGCATGCTCCAGAAGCCTAACAAACCCTTTGCAGGAAGCAGGGAAGAGACAAGAACCCTCATTTTGGTCTGCAAACAGTAGTTTGAAATTCAAACCAGTTTCTTTTCCACAAGGCAATTAAAAGAGCAGGACAAAATATTTTTTGGAAAAATGGAAGGGACCAGCTCAAGACCAGGGTCTCCACCTGAGCTGCTGGCTTTGCCCAGAGGACAATCAAAGCTGTCAGCCACAGGCAGGGACACCTTCCACTAGACCAGGTTGCTCCAAGCCCCATCCAACCTGGTCTTGAACACTTCCAACCAGAATTTATACCAGTCTTAATAGAGTTTAAGAGCCAGAACACCAGGTTGAAGCACTGGCACTGTGTCCCAAGAAGGAAATGAGATAAACTACGCCAGAAGGAAACAGAGCTCAATATTAGGCTGATTTATCCCCAGAGGTCTGTCATCCCACACCTCACACCAAGCCTGCAGTACCTGCACTTCCCAGAGGTTTACGTGAAGAGAGAACAAATTCAGGCTTCAGCATAGTTAGGACTTGCTTAGAGGGGACAGGACAATTTAAAGAAACTATAAACCTACAGCATCTGTAGTTAACCAAAAGTATCAATATCCCAGAGCAACTCCTTTGATCAAGTACAATCATTCCCACATAAAGGAAATCTGGGGGAGGTCACAGCAGAAACCTCCAGTTCAAACCTGCCCTCTCTCTCCAGGTCTACCTGACAACCAGGAGACATCCTTCAAAAGCTCTCTAGGCTGACTTTCCTAAGCTTAGTGCAATTTAAAGACAGTCTGCTAAGTGAACCTCACATCACACACCAGCAAGTTCCCTTCTCTGAAGACCACCTGCCTGCTGCCCCCAGGTGACATTTATAGCTGGGCTGAACTGCTTTGCAACTCTGCTGAAAGTCCTGCCTACACCACTCAATTTCAATGCCACAGTGACTTCAGTGACTGCAAACGGCCTACAGTAAGGAAAAGGTTGAATTAAATTGGAAAAGCCTTGAAAAGCACTTTGCTCCACTGTGTTTCTTACCTGGTCAGTGAGCAAGTCTGCATCAATGGATCACACGTGATCCAATCTTCTCCATCCTTTCTCAATGGCATTCTTCTGCACAGATGCCAGAGACCTCCCTCGCACAAGTTCAGATGACCTTCTCCGTTGCTGAGTTCTAGTTTTCCCCCTCCTACCTTTATCTTACTTTTAAGGGCATTTAATTTAATGGAATAAGCCCACAGTAACAAGGCCATTCTGCCTTCTAACAGCAGGCACGATGAGAGAGAGGAAGCTTGCTGAGCATTTCCACACAGCTATTTAACACATCTCCTAGTTGAAGCAAGCTTGAATGAGCCCTCTTTTCAACTCTTAGTTGCACACTAGGACTGAACTAACTTCTGTTTCAATCAGATGCTGCATGCCCAAAAGCCTCCTCCACTCACAGTCCAGTCTTTCCACACACTGTGCATGCTCTTCCAATGTTGCTCTTGTCCTACCTCTCACCGAAGAGGTCAAATATCACCACAAGCCCTTAGGATATATTAGCCTCTATTATCAGCAAGATAATAAAAACAGATGCTACACAGCTTCATTTAAACAGTCTTTGCAGCAAAGGGCTAAGCACAGAGCTTCATTAAATGATATCAAGAATCTACTCAGTGGTACCACTCTGGAAGTTTTGCTGTTTCCAAAGAGCAATAGACTGGAAGGTAGAACAGATCAAGTTCTGTCACACTCCACAGAGATCAGTCTTTAATTAGTTTACTGAATTAAAAGCAGAGAGCACACACATTCTGGCACCTATGGCATCCTGTCTAGACTCTAGAAGTATAGTAGAAGAGTCATCCCCATAAATTTAGAAAGCAACCCCAGGCAGTAGGGATGTTTATCATCAGTAGCAGACTTGAGATGGATGGCCAGGACAGGAGACACTTCAACAGCCATTGCCCTGATGCACCATACTATACCAGTCCCTTCCACACCAGGAGCACACAAGAAGGAGCAAACGGCTGCAGGGGACAAAAGAGCAGACAGCAGGAGGGATGGAAGTGTGAAAGGAGCTCAGCACAAGGATCCTCAAGAACAGGGACATCAATTGAGGTGCTCCAGGTGCATGGCAAGGAAACAACCCTGCAAAACAGAGTATGAATGTGAAAAATGCTTTTTTCAGCCTCTGACAATGCCAGGAAGACGGGGACGTATGACCAGTTGTGGTATGGCAGGAACACAAGAGGTCATGAACATCAGACAGAGGCAATCTAGGAAGCAGGAGACCTTTGGCAGAAGAGAGGATCCCAGCATGGCTGAGCAGACACCAGTGAAAATCTCTCATTACAGTTCAAATAAGAGATGTTGACTGCTGGATTACTAGTGACACCAGGCTGAGGATGAAGGACAAAAGGAGGCCTGCCACACAGAAGCAGCTTTCTCTCTTCCTGCTGCCCCTACCCACATGAGCACATGGATGGGGAGCAGCCCCAGACTTTTCCCCTCACACAGCCATATCCATGGGCTACCGCCTTCAGATTTCCCCCCATAGCTTCCTCTTAAAGCAGTGCAAGAGTCAGCACTGATCCAGCAGGTTTCCACAGCAACCTCACCTCTATGGACCTAGAATGAATATTAGTACACCCCACTGTATCAGTTTAATCTCCACCCCATACCACCATCCAATTTTCTTCACATCCCAGATCAAACATACCCTTTAGCAACACCAGGTGTCTCCAGCTTGCAGCAGCACAGATGATGGACACTGGGAGAGCTCAGGAGAAGCAGTCATGCTTCAAATTCTATTCAGATAAATCCTCTTACATAAGCATGTGCTAGCAACACCACTCTGATCTGGTTTTAGTTTCACTAACTTACACTGAAGATAAGTTAAAGCAAGTGCCCCAACCCTGACTCCATCAGCATCTTGACTGACAAACTGGATGAGTCAATGCCTTGTAGTTTATAAGGCAGAAAATTGTTCCCTTTCCAAGAAAGGTTACAAGTTGCCATGACTTCATCCGGAGGTACACTAAGATGATGAGGATGAAAAAGCATTAATGGTAAAAATATTAACTGCAAGCAGATACTGAACAATTCTAAAACACAGCCCATTTCCAGGAAGGCTGGAAGCCTTGGCAAGCCAGCTGTACCACTGGTACAGGTCATGGGCACTGTGAAGGATGGCCAGGACAGGCCACTGCAGCTTATATACTAAAAAGCGGAGATGGAAGCAGCTCCTGCAGGTAAGATGTTTTGGTCTTGGCCTGTAAGCAGTTTTCATAGACTCATAGCCTGTTTGCACATGCCTGCCTCTACCCCACCCACAGAAAGAGATTGCCTAAACAGCTTCCCAAGCAGAACTGTGCCTGACAAAGCAAAATACCACTCACCTTTCAAGAGCTGTGGGTATTTGGTATGAACTAGATTGGTAAGATCACCACCATCGTCCAAAATCATGTTGAGGGGCTGCCCATCCTTGAAGTACAGGGTCTGCTCAATGCACCACAAATACTCCTCATCTGTCTCCCCTTTCCAGGCAAACACTACACAGGAACAAGCACACACAATTAGCCAGTTTCTTACTCAGCATGTGGTAAAGCAGCAGAAGGAAGATTTCACCAGCAGCTCTCAGGAGCAGACAGACAGATTATTATCTGTGCCTGCAGGCCAGAAGAGACACCTTCATTGAAAAAAAGGTCTCAGAATGAGCAGGAAT